ATTGACGGAACTGTATTACCCACATACGTGGAGCACGCTAATTGGCAGTAACCCTTGTCAGACTGTCGTTCTTAAAGAAACACAACATTCTTCTATTGACCAACTAACAAAAGCACTCAATGCCGGCATGTCGAAAGAAACACAGACGAAAGTAAAGTTTAGTTATAATCGCAGCTCTCGCAAGGTTTTGATTGATGTAAAACACGGCACGAATGTGTGGTTTCCCGGAGAATTAGCAACGGTCTTGGGATTTAACCAGGACACAATTATTGAAAAAAAAACGTCGAGTCCCTATGCTGCAGATATCAATGGTGGATTTTCCTCCATGTATGTCTATACTGATATCGTTGATGCACAGTTTGTGGGAGATGTGAAAGTGTCTTTACTACGAATCGTTAATATCGAAGGGGAATATGGAAACACCGTTCACACCAGTTTTCGTAATTTGCAATACGTACCGGTCAAAGTAAATTCTTTTGAGACCATTGAAGTCAATATAAAAATGGCCAAAACGAAAACGTCTCATTTGAGTTCAGGAAGTCAATCGCAACACTTCACTTTAGACAGAGTAGATCTCAGCACTTTATCTAAAAATGCGCGGAAGACTAGTTGTGGATGCTAAACTATTGAAAGCAGGGGTGGACTGGTCAGTTGAGCTCACCGGGCAAATGCCCGGTGGGCCCCTTGCTTGTAAGGCCGTTTTCGGCCGCTTTAAATTGGCTTAATTTAAAAGTAATTTAAATAAATGGCTAGAAACGCCAAATCATAAACATGAAAAGCAGGAAGCGCGCTAAACCACTTTTTTCGCCCGACTAAGGGCCCCTGCGATCTTTTTTCCCTAGTATTTTTCTTTTATATATACACAAAAAGATACTTATGGATGGCTTTGGGCGGCGCCAAAACGCAAAACGGGATAAGTGGGCGTTTTCAGCTGCAGAGAAACGTGATTAACTCGAAGATATTCTCGGGTCACTGCGCAAATTAAAGCAATATAAAGTTAGTTATATACTGAAAAAAGTGATGGGGCGATACTACATGTTAATATCTTATAGTGAAAAGGCCCGCGACCCGCGCAATCCTCTGCCTAAAATTTAGCTTTGAAATCTTGGCAACTGTGTAAGTTACTTTTGTAAAACAATGATATTTTTGCAGATCAAAGACTAATGATAAAAGTGCCTACTAAAAATTAAAATAGAATAAGGTAATTTAATAATGTGGGGGGGGGGTGGGGGGGTGGGGGGGTCAATATCCCCATCAAGCCAAATCGCCCAGGCCCCCTTGGGGTAGCCAGTCCGCCCCTGATTGAAAGACCTTTTCTTGAGACAGCAACGTGGTGGGAATATCGCTGGGTTTCGTGGTGCATGTGTGCAAAAGGATATGGAATCGGAGGTATTTTTAAGAGCCTTGCGAGGTATGCTATTCCTCTATTCAAACAAGGTGCTAAAGTTGTTGGCAAAAGAACATCACAAACAGCCACAGAAGTTGGTCAAGATGTACTCCAAGGAAAAAATGTAATAGAATCTTTTAAGTCACAAAGAAAACAAGCAGCGTCTGAGCTTTCAGAAAACGCTTCCAAGAAAGTAATGACGCTGGAAAAGATCGCAAAAAAGGTATAAAAAGAGCTGCGCCAGCTAAACTCCCATTCGCGGTGCAACCAAGAAGCAGAAAACATCTCTCGATAACAAAAGTCCAAAGTGGCAGGGCTGTAATGAAGTGAAGTTTTGACACTTTAGTACATTAATTTCGCTATGTTTGGGATTAGTTGATTAATAACTTTATAAGTTGATGTATACTGAGAACAACATTGCCTAATATGGTCATCTAATAGTTTTAGCGTAATGATTGACATTGGGATTAAAGTAAACGAGATAGGTTTTTATAGTGCATGTGGAAACAGGGCGTATTATTGTGAGACTGCGAGAAATACGAAGAGATTTATATACATTTTATACGCGTGTTTATTGTGATTTATTGTGATTGTGGAGAACATCTGTTCAGCGGAGGGAACATTCTCTACACGTCGTGCCTCCGACGGGATCGGTGAGTTTTAACTCGATAAAATCAAATACAAACCGCTGTGTTTTTAAGTCAAAGGGGATGGAGTTTGAGGCGCTAGATACGAAGCTAACGCAGCTTGAAATTACGGTCCAGAGAACAGAGTTTGTGTTGACTTCTGCACGACGAGAACAAATCAAACGGCACCTAGAAGCATTGAAAGCGATTTCATGTGAAACTGACGAATGTAAACGAGCCGTAGAACTCGAGAAAATCGCAAATAAGGAAGAGTTATCCGAGATAAACAAATGGCATGACGAAATTGACGAGAAATTAAATAAAGCCGATATCGAAATAAGTCGTCTCGAAGGGTGGCTCAACGACAAGGAGAAACATGAGAAATTTTCTGCACAAGAAGAACAGCTGAAATTCGAACTAAAGCTACACGAAACAAAGTTGAAGTTACAAACAGAATTGACAACAAATTCATCGCCAGACACGTCCAGTACGACTACAATCACAGTGTCTGAGAAAACCGGAAAGCTTCCAAAGTTGGTGATCTCAAAATTTAACGGATCTTATATGGATTGGCCCAGATTTTGGGGACAGTTTTTCCGAAGCTGTAGACAAGAGTACCATAGCCCCTATCAGCAAGTTTACGTATTTGTGCGAATTACTTGAGCCCAGTGTGAAACGTGTAGTCGAAGCCCTTCCGTTCACTCTCGAGGGATATAACAGAGCAAAATCCATATTAAAAGACAGGTTCGGGAAAGAATCGGAAATCGAGAAAGCATACGTGAAGGAGATATTGGAACTGCCCCACATAACAAGTCCAAGTCCAAAGAAGATTTGGCGAGTTTTATGAAAAATTATCTTATTCGGTGCAAGCACTGGAGACCATGAAAAGATTGGATCAAGTTTCTGGAAATGTCTCGATGACCCTCGACAAACTTCCGGCAATTAGAGGAGATTTGGTACGCACAGATCCCGATTGGGAAACCTGGGATT